CTTCTCAAAAAAAAAAAAAAAAAAAAAAACCAAACAAACAAACAAACAACCTAGTTTGGCAAAAGTTCTGAAGTTCCCCACAGAAGGCCTACGGATAGAGAGTGAGCATGATGAGAGGAGGGCGGCAGCAGCCGCCACTTCAGAAGCACACCTCAGGCCCACGTGGCCACACATCCCACCACCAGGACAGCTGTGGTCAGATGACAGCAAGTAGGGGTGAGGAGGGAGAAGGCAAAACTTTCACATGAAGCTGGTGGAAACGCTCTGGGAAAGTTTGGCAGTTTCTCAGTTAAATGTAAGTTTACTCCATGTCCAGCAGTTTCACACCTACACATCTAGGCAAGAGAAATGAAGTCGCATGTCCCCAGATCTGCATGCAAGTGTTCACAGCAACACTATTCAAAAGAACCAAAAAGTAAAACTTCAAATGTCTGTCAACTGGGGCAGGGACAAGTCAGGAGCTGCTGATACATACCGCAGCAGGGCCCAACAGCACACACGCAAGGCAAGAGGAACCAGACGTAGACGATTACACACTGTATGATTCCACTTACAGGAAAAGTCCAAAAAAGGCAAACTTATAGTCAGAGGACAGAGTAGCAACTGCTGTGGCTGGGGGGAGGGATTTGGGGTGGGGGTGGAAACGGACCACAAACAGGCATTTTTGGAAGTATTCTGAAACTGGACTGTGGTGATGCCTGCAAGACTAGAAACTTTCTAAACCACTGGCTTGTATACTTAATACAGGTAAAACTTACAGTATGTATATTATAGCTCAGCAAAGCTGTTTATGGAATGCACATAGGGGAAAGGCTCAAGGCACACCAGGACCCTCAGCATCAGCTCTACTGACCACTTTGTCTGAAGGCCTGTCCTGCCCATGAGTGCCTGCAGCTCAGCAATCCCACCTCATAGCAGTGGCAACCCCAAATGCCTCTAGACACTGCCAGATGTCCTCTGAGTTCAACCATCACCCCAGGTGAAACCACTTAATATTTTAAAATTTGCTTTTTTCATTTGACACATCTTTCCAGTACGTAGATTCTACCGGAGTCACTTTAATGCTGCATGGCATCCCACTACATCATGTCCCATAAATTACGTGGGACAGTGACATTTCCATTTGTTTTGAATACTACAATGAATATGGCAATACACTCATGTAGAGATCTTCACGAGACTTCCTCTGAAGAAGACTGGGATTGCTAGGTCAGAGAATATACAATATAAACTAAAAACATCTATTTGAAAATCTGAGGTTTAATTTTAACAGAGGACAATACTGACCAGACCAGGCTTCAGTCAGCAAGAATCTGGACATATAAAGAGGTCACTGTGATCGTGATGATGGCCAGAGTGGGAGGTCCTGCAGGCCTCCCTGTGCAGACTGGAGCCCTGGAATTCCTGCTTCCATCCGCTGGAGAACCTTGGGATATCACTGCACCCCGGGGGCCTCATAGGCACTGGGACGTGCCATCAATCAAGGGTCCCCAACCACCACTTAGTAAGGAGAAGGCCCTTCTTATCTTACTACAGCCTCAAGAGCTGGTTTAGACAGTTGACAACGGATTGCAGACCAGGCAGGGAAGTTACCAATGCTTCTAGAACGCTGGGGTAAGACAGAGCTACCCCAGCCAAGGAGGATGCATAGAGGCCTGCTCCACAGGGTGCTCTCATTGAAGAGGGTAACTGTCCTCTCTGTAGCTACAGCTATGTGGCAACGGTGACACACAGGCCATAGCCCCTATGGCTGGGCAAGACCTGAAGCTATCTGTCTGATGCACACAAATGACTTGTCAGAAAAGCAAAGTGACTGGGCCAACACCAGAAAGCCATGCCAGGGACACACAGCTCTGAGGGCCCTGCAGGCACAAACGTCTCTGGGGACTTCACACTCACACTCTACCCTGAACTCCGCAGAAGCACTACTTATTTCTATTTTTAATTAGACATGTGGCCTGTGGCAAATCTGTTATTTAGCTATCTTATTTACCAATCTGTTATATGCCCATGTCCCAGCCTAGTCCCTTGGTCCTGTTCTTTCAGGGTAAAGATTTGCATTCCCCTATGACACACCTGCATCATAATGTAAAGGTCCTTAGTATCTGCTGTTTGAACATCTGAAGACATTTTCTTCACCAGCCCTGTGGGTGAGCACAACAGCCAGAGTTCACAGCACTGGGCTTCCAGGAGGCAAGCCTAGTTTTTAGAAATACTAGGGTATAGAGGTGGCCCTGGAAACCTCTGAAGAATAAAAAGAGAGAAGAAAATCTATCACTGAGAAATAAAAACCCAGTCACCAAAACAGCACTGGGAGGGCTCGGCGCCTATAGCTCAACTGGCTAAGACGCCAGCCACGTACCCCTAAGGTGGTGGGTTCGAATCCCCAGCCCGGACCCGCCAAACAACAATGACGGCTGCAACCAAAAAATAGCCGGGCGTTGTGGCAGGCGCCTGTGGTCCCAGCTACTTGGGAGGCGGAGGCAAGAGACTCGCTTAAGCCCAGGAGTTGGAGGTTGCTGTGAGCTGTAATGCCACAGCACTCTACCCAGGGGGACAGCTTGAGGCTCTGTCTCAAAAACAAAAAAAAAACAGCACTGGGAGGACAGTTAATTCCGTTTCAAGTACATCTGTAAATGGCCCCCTGTTTGGGAAGCATCTGAAGGACTAGACCCACACTTGCAGGGTTAAGCAGGGGAATTCCACATGAATGCAGAAGCCTTATTCAAACATGAGACTACTCTACCTAAAGATAGTTCTAGTTACTTTTTAAGACAGGTTTTCAAAATATTGGTTTAACTTCACACTGTTTATCTAGTATTAGTAATAGTTACTCTAACAGATTTTCAACAATGAACACTTTTGAAAGCCACACTAGAAGGCTCAGCTGTTCCTTCACTTGGCTTCTAAATAAGACAACTGTGGATATGTGTGAGGCAACACCCTCAGGACCACAGAACTGCCGGGGGCCTTGGCCTCTGCACTCCAGACAGGCCGTCCACCAATCTGTGCCCCTACAATAGGACTGCTACCCAGGTGACATGTACGAGTGTGGGTGTGCCTGTTTACACAGGACGCAGCAGATGAAGCAAGCAGGCAGTACACCAGCTCCTGGTGCTGGCCCTGCTGCTGCAGATGTAAAGAGCTGCACCAACAAGAAGTAGGCGGTGCACTTCAGTGCTGAGGACACACAGATCAAGGCACTTGACATCCACCTCGCAACTGCCTTGAAAAAGAAGGCACAAACCACGTTTGGTAACCATCCAGCTCAGATTCCAGCCACCCCCAGACACAGGGAGCACACGTGCCATGGGCACCGAGGGTGCCCCAAATTACCAGAGAGTGGTGGGCCTGCTGTAGCTCTCCACATAGTGTTCACTGATGACTTTAAAAGACATTTTGCTTATCAGAAAGACTCATCTTCACACCAGTTTTCATGTGTTAACTAACCTCCACAGCAGCATTAAGAATTAATGTGGCAAGAGCAGCAGGGAAATTCCAGCGAGGGGGAAGCTGAAGACCACACCAGCAGCCTGGCACTCTTCAATCCCAGAACTCAACCTGGGGACTTTCTAGTGAACTGAAAGAACTCATTTCACTCAGGAGAAAACTAGGAGACTGATAATAAATTTCAACTTCCTGGGGGTGGCGCCTGTGGTTCAGTGAGTAGGGTGCGGGACCCATATACTGAGGGTGGTGGGGTTGAACCCACCACAACTCCAGCCAAACTGCAACAAAAAAATAGCTGGGCACTGTGGAGGGGGCCTGTAGTCCCAGCTACTTGGGAGGCCGAGGCAAGAGAATCGCCTAAGCCCAAGAGCTGGAGGTTGCTGTGAGCTGTGACGCCACAGCACTCTACCGAGGGTGACATAGTGAGCCTCTATCTCTAAAAAAAAAAAATTAATTTATTAATTAATTTCAACTTCCTGAATTTTACCTAATCTAACTTTGTTGCAAATACAATAAATCTATTGAAGGTAGAAAGAAGAAAAACCTAAGGGCCTGAGTCAGGGCCACAAAGCTCTGTAGAACTGGGGTCCAGGCAACGCCAGTGCAAGTTAAATGCCACAGAATCTAGAACCACACCACTCGTGTCAGAACTGAGCCACACCTTGGGTCAAAACAGCATGAGGCTCACAAGCTCAGATAAGGCAAACAGAAAAAGGAGAAGCAGCAGAGGGGAGATCCCCTGGGAGGGAAGGAGAGGGAAGAGAAGTCCCAGCCCACAGGCAGGGCAGTGCCACAGGGATAACAGGCATCTCTCAGGTTCCTCTGTTCACTGTCAGAACCTTAGTCTTCCAGAGACTACTAGAAGCCAGAGCCACTCACTGTATTTGAGACTAACTCACCACGACCACACAATATTCCATAATCATCATCTTAAAACTCTATAAATATGTAATATTTACAACTAACCCTTTTACTGGTTCTAAGGAAAGTGCCATTTCTTTTGGATCAACATGTAGGCTGTTTTGTGCTTGTAGGTCAGCAGACTAGAGAAGAGCTGAAAGGGGTGAGAGCCACTTGGCCTTTTCTCCAGGTGACACTGTGAGCACAGCCACCCTACTAAAGTGGTTCTTAGGTCTAACTTCTAGTAAAGTCTAAAGAACAGTCACACACATAAGATTAACTTACATGATCAATGCCTCCCATTCAAAAAAATTCTCTTCATTCATGGGGCCTGCAGGGAAGGAAAAATTTCACGTCATTTTAACTGTGAAGGCAACTTTGGAAATTACATGATAAAGGTGTTAACATTAGTACTTCACCTGCCACAATTCCTTCTGGAGGGTTCAGTGTTAATTCTACAAAATAAAAAGTAAAACCATTATTAAACAATGAATATTATATTTTCATTTTAACAAAAAACCTTTACAAAGCATATGTGACTACAGGTTGCAAAAATTTGACATTATCAAATATAGCAAATATTTTATAAGTTAGCTATTGATTTTTCTTTTTTCTTTTTTTTTTTTTT